GTGTTTTAAGCTACACGGTATTACAAAAGAGTCAACAAGTTTTAAAAAATTAGAAAGATTTTAAAGTAAAAAAGTTATAATAAGCTAAGGTTAATTTATTATTTTTGAGAAAGAAAGTATCTTTCTTAAGTTTGGTGTAGCCTAAGCGTGCAGTGTGTATGAAGTCTACAGTCGTGTACAGCGATGACCTAGGGCTTCACATTCGCTCGCCACTCACTGACTCACCCAGGGCAACTTCCAGTCCTGCAAGATTCATTCGTGATAAATGCCCTACACCGTACTTTATCTTTTATACTGTATTTTGACTGTAGCTTTTCTATGTTTAGATATACAAACACCATTGTGTTAATTGCCTACAGTATTGAGTACAGGTTTGCAACCTAGGAACAATAGTCTATACCATATAGCCTAGGTGTGTAGTAGGCTATAACTCTAGGTTTGTGTAAGTGCATTCTGTGATGTTTGCACATGACGAAATCACCCACGAGACATGTCTCAGAATGTATCCCTGTCCTTAAGTGAAGCATGACCCTATGTAGGTACCAGAGCCTAGCCAAGTTGACGCATAAAATTAACTACCACAGAGCTGTAACAGTAGGGATGGACACTCACAGATTCAGAAAGCCTTAACAAAAATTATCCACATGTTTATTTTCTAGACAAGGGAAAATGGAAAATTATTGTGGCAGGAAGAAACATATTCCTCCATCTCATGTTTTCTATGCAAATCTACATACGTGTCATTTTGTCCCATCTCTGGCTCCATCTACCTCTCAGTGAAATTTGCTCTGTATTTCTCAATTGAGTGGACATAATATATTAAAAATCCATTATCTATAGGTTGTCTCTTTTTCTTTCTGTGAACTCCAAGCTTCATTTGGGTAAGCATGAAATCTAGAAAGAAGCCTTCTATACTAAAGACGTAAGAGCATCTTCAAAATTCTAATTCCAGGACCCTATTCCAGATTACTAAATCATAATCCCCTGGCATGATGCCTGAGAATTTGGGTTTTTCTTTTAAAGAAAAAAAATTGCCTTTTTTTCTTGTATATAATTTGAAGTCATGAAGGTTTGAAGGACTTTGGCTTCAGATTCCATTCCTTCTTCAAAGTTTTTATATCTACTAGGCTTCTGAGAAAAAATAAATAAAAGAAGTAAGAAAGAGGGAGAGAGGAAGGAAGGAAGGAAGGTAGGTGGGTTGGTTGGTTGCTTCTTGTTATACAAAGTAATTGACATC